TGAGTACTCAATGTGGGGTTACAGCCACTACGCACTTAGCATGCCCGCAATCCTACTTGCCGTATTAACGTTATATGCCGATTTATACTTCCACCTCTTAGGAAGGAGCGATAGCCTATTGTATGATTCTTTGAAATAACCAACTTATCCTGCTTTATTTTTTTTACTTGTGTGCGCAATGTAATTTATGTACAGGGTATATCATGTTTCCCTTATTATCTGTGCACATCGGACGGGGTTGAACAAGGACTCGAGCTCGAGATCCCAATGAGCAAGGTAAGTTCAGCCCATAAGAAGCCTGGACGCGATTAACGGCGAAGCCAAACATAGGGGTGCCAAATCTGAAACCGTCATTCGAGTAAGGGATGGAACACGTCGCCTTACAGCGCCACTTACCAGGTCAAGGTAACAGGCAATTTCGTTTGGATCTAACTTGTCGTTTTTTTCTTTTTAGATTGGGATAGGAATACGAGCATTCTCACAGGTACACGAACAAGGAACAAATGCCACCGAACGCACCAAGCAGAACCCTCCACACCATACCGTACTACAAATAATAGACAAACGACTCAAAACAAGCTGGTATTATTAAGAAAATCTCCATGATTTGGGACTAAGCGGTGAGCTCGTGGAACGTACAGTCCCTCCGACACAAGCAGAACTTGAACTCGAAAAGCTTGCATGTATATTTGCCATGACAATCTTACACTAATTCAGCCGACTAAATATTGCGAATCACGTCTGGACTTTATTTAGTCTCAGGGTACCCAGAAGCCCAAGCAATAAGTTCGTCGCTCATCCTGATCACGGCCTTTCTAGGGCGAGCAAAAAAAGGACTAGGTAAACTGGGACTCCTGCGACAGGCATAGCTTTCTCCAATGAAAACTAAAATTAAAAAAATCGGGACTCATCCCGACGCATATTACTCTCCAATGAAAACAAAATCAAACAAACTGTGATTCACCTCAACGCACGCATAAACAATGCAACAATAAGTGATATTCTCCAATAAAAGTAATGCAACAAGCAAACCCGCTCCATCGTCAAACGAGTTATAATTCGACCTCGCTCGAATTAACACCCTTACGGCCATCGGCCATCGCCAAACGGGTTACAATTCGACCTTGCTCGAATTAACACCCTTACGGCCATCGACCATCTCCAAACGGGTTACAATTCGACATCACTCGAATTAACACCCTTACGGACATCGTCCATCGGCCACCTTCTCCGTCTATTCTACACTTAAATCGGTGACCCTGGTGGCGTTCTGTTCAAGCTCGGCCCGCAATGACTGCACCTTCGCCTGAAGGTCTTCACACTCCACCCCGACCCCTTTGCCCACTTCAAGCTCCTCGTCTTTGGCATGGAATAACTCCTCGAGCTCTCTACGTCTGCGGATAGACCACATCAGTTCCTCATCCCTTTTCTCCAACTCTTCCCTAACGGACTGAGTATCACAACGCACCTTAAGCTGTGCGTGCATCTCACAGCACTTGTCGCGGTATCGGCGATACTTTACATCCATTTTTAGAAAGACTTCGGCCCTAGTCTCACCCCTACGAGCAATCTCAATCTCGAGCATGTCAGTCTAAAAAAAAGAGTAGAAAGAAAAAGAGGGGAGGAATTAGCGAAGACAAAATAGCGCAAAATAAAGAAAACGACAAAAAGAAACTCACCCTCAAGGCCATCCCAGCCACACCTCATGACAAAGCGGAATAGTTGATCTCCCGAAGAGACTTGCTTTCGGCGGCAGAACACAGAAGGTCGAATTGAGGCACTAACTCCACCGTGTCCTCCAAAAGGTTGAAATTCATTGGAATCTTGAGCACACGAGAAGGACCTTCCGCCCTTACATCGACCCCGGTAAAGCTCTCCTCGAACATCCTCATATCCTCAGTGTCGATGCCGAAATCCGATTCATAATCATCCACAACCACGCCTGTCCCTCTCTCATTGACCGAAGAAGGGGTGCGGTTTTGCCGAGATGACGATGGACCGCTTGGAACAACCATGATAGCCCCCGAACTTTGTCCCCCCGCCACGATGGTCTCTTTCGCAACCGGATAGGCGTTACCTCCGCACCCGGTCGGTGTCACCACCAACTTCAGATACCTCCAAAGAAGGGTCGCCCCTCGAGGACGTCTCAATCAAAGATGCTCCCTCTGAAAACCTCCGCCACTTTGACGGTGCCTCTTCGCTACTATTGCAAGAAGGCTCACCCGTTGAATGGACGGCGAGAACCGGAGTATCTGACCAGGGATCAACCTCCAAAACGAATAGGCCTGGTCACCGACGTGGTCTGCCGTGCAACCACACATTGGGTGTTCTCACCCTCTGGTGCCCTTTGCACGGGTCGGGCAAAGAAAGCCGGTTGGCGAAAAGCGAGCGTAGGAGCCCTTGTCCTTCTCACTCCTGTCCGACCTACCAATGAGAAGAGATTTAATCAAGCAAGGATAGGGTAAAAGAAAATATAGAGCAAAGAACAAAGTAACGGGCCACGACGAGCCAACTCACCAGCAAGAGGCTTGCGCCCGAACTTCTTATGGAAAGGTGTCCATTTGCGAATCCCCACCGTATGAGGAAGAATCACGCTCACCCACTCGCAAACATCAGCAACTGGCGGATGAGGTACTCTCTCAGCTGCAAGAACATAAATAAACCCTCAACGAGGTCATTAAAGGGAGATGATCGACGACCATCTTAAGAGAAAATACATAGAATAAAAAGAAAAGAAGATCTACGAGCAAAATTCCACGTCTCAGGAAACCCCGTCGGGTTCGACATGACGTGCTCTATTCGGATGTAGAAGAATCTCTCCCAAAAGCGGCGATTTGCCTTGTCGTCCATTTTCACCACCAAACTCTTGGTTCCTCGGTGATGCATGTGAATCATCGTACCCCGAAGAAAATGGGGGCGAAGAGGTGAAGCATGTGCTCTAGAGAAATTCATCGGTCGACCAGCTCCGCATACTTGATTAGCATAAGGAAAAGCTTGTACGCATACGGAGAGACTTGAGCGGGGCACACCTCATAAAAGCGGCAGAAATCCACCACCAAAGAAGGAAGGGAAAGTATGTACCCGATGACAAAGGGATACACATAAAACGTGCAACAGCCCGGGCGGTGTAAATGCACTATGTCCTGATCCGCTGTCACCATTTCAATGTGATTAGGGATCCCCCCATTTGGCTTTGAACACCGTGATCTCCGCAACATCCATCGTGGAAGGAACGTGCTCCGGCTAGTCTCCAGCTGGGCTATTAAAGTCAGTCCTCGCCTTCCCCGGGTGGGGGACCACCTTATCTACCGTGGAAAAACCCATATCCTCCACCATCTCCACCCCCTCTTCAATTAGGGGTGCATCATTTTTCGGCACCGGAGCACCAACAGCTCTTTTAGAGTTGGAAGAAGCACTAGCCATTTTTCCGGTGATTAAAAGAAACGAGAGTGACAAGGGAAAAAAGATAACAGTCACAACAAATCCTCACAGAAGCAGAAATATGAGAAACTGAATAAGAATAAGAGCTAAGAGGCTCTTGAGCGATTGGGAAGCGTAACATTCAAATGGAAGATTCTCCCATATTTATAGGGATATGAATACCCTAAGCGGAAAACCCAAACGCCGCCATTTAGAGAATGGAAAGGGCACGAGAAATGACGCAATGCATAGAAAACGTGCGCCATAATGACGCATGAGAAGTATTTATGACATCGTGAACTGACGTGACGATCCAATCCTGAACTGACGTAATGGTCCGACGCAATTCTCGAAACGTCACGTTGCTACCTCGCCATGAGGTGCTCGCCCCTCGCATAAAGCGCTCAGATTTCTCCCAATTTTTGAATCAACAGAGTCCGCCCATCGAGCTCGCCAAGAGGCGACCCCAACGGGCGAAGGGACTAATTGTATGAGTCAAAATCTGACTAGACAAGAATCAGTGTGGGAAGGGACGATGGAAGGTTACTTGGAACTATCGTGTCCGAGCCACGCTGTAACGACATGCACCTCGGTCACGACCGAGGTTGTGTATTTAGGATATCTGAGAGACGAATTGAATATCATGGCATTTCAAGGGGTCAACTCGTAATATAGTCAAATGATTCAAATACTATGGTCAATGATCGTTGGGTAAGAGAGAAGGTCTAGTATATAAACTAAGTAGAAGAAGAAGAAAGTGGGGCAGAACAAATAGAAAGACAGACACATTCTCTTGGGGGGGGGGGGGGAATCATCTTTCTCTTTCCATGAAGGAGAAAGAAGCAAGGAAGCTCAGATCTCCAACATAGACCGTTAGTCTCATCACACCCAATGCATGTGGTTCTACTCTATTAAAGATAAGTGATATTTCCCCCATGTATTCCTTATTGATTGTTAAACATTATGGAAATCGTCATTTTCTTCCCGTATAGTGTGATTTAATCGATATTACAGTCAAATCTTATATGTGTTATGGTTACTTACTCTCATCTTTTATTATAGATCTGGAATAAATTATCATTGACTAAGATTTACCTAAAGTCTTCTTAATATTTAATTAGTTTAGCAAAAAGCTCAACACTTTTTGGTCAAACACTTATAATGCGTAGTAAAATTATTTATTTAAGAGCGTAAGAAGAAAGCATCCACTGCTGAGTGCTGACAATAGATCGTGACAAAGGAGACCAGGAAAAGCAAAGGGACTTCTCCTGTCCATAAAAGCTACTGTTTCACTACCAAAGACATTCTTGATTTCATATGATATGCCTAGTTAATGCATTCATGGGCGCGGCTTAACATTTAATAACGTAGGTGATTTTTTTTTGGTCTATTTAAATTTTGGGGTAGAATTATTCGATATTTGTGTTTATACAAAATAGCTGATGAAATTGATATCAAGATACGTGCAAGTTAATTCAGACATCACAACTATATGAAAAAATGACAACTTAATGTCTGCCAACAACACCGTAGCGACATAATACCGAAGACGGGGGCGGATGTAACATTGTACCCATAAATTTAAAAATATAATGAACTCAATATTAAAAACCTTAAATATTAAAACCATAAAATTTAAATCATGGATCTGCCAGGAATGGTTTACTTTATAAACAAGAACCTATTGACAAATTTGACATGATAGTTTATTTGCCTACCTTTATTCGTAAGCGAAGGAGAAACCAGATTGGATAGACGTAGTACAAAAGGCATTTGATTCTCATTGTTCACAAGTGATTTTTGGAAAGATGATTAGCCAAGTTGAGGCTCTTGGGCAACTTTTCCAGATGCATCCACAAAAATACGGACCCGTTCTAAACGGTAATCCATAGTTACCATAGAATTTGGTGGAATTATATGTATCTTCAGCTCTGGTTTCTCCTCCTTTATCTTCTTTTCTGCTTCCTCTGCTGTCATACCTACCAACTCTGGCCATGACATTTTCCCAGCTGGTGGGTTACTCCAATCTGTTCCATAACTTTCTTCATTATCACAATTTAAATTTAAAAAAATTAATTCGATGCACGAAATATCCCGAGTTCACGCAGGGTTCGGGAAGGGCCCATCCTAAATGCAAGAATCAATGAATGATTCCATCGCTCGAACCCGTAACCTATAGGTCAAACGAAGATAACTTTACTATTGCTCCAGATATAACAAACAAATCTAGGATCTAGCGTAAATTAGTTCAGAACGAGTTATACCTGTTATATATATTTAAATAAAATTCGAGCTGAAAATAATAAATTCAATTGAACGTATAAAATTCGCCCTAAATCCGCCTCCACTAGAGATCACTATACACTAGCCGGTTACTAATCTTCTCAAGGACTTTATCTTGAAATATCAAATAATTCTAAGTTGGACATACACATAATATAAAATTATGACCACCAAAGGATGTGGTGCAGTGAACATGACTGTTCTTCCCTAAATTAGAAGTTTCGGTTCAAGTCATGGGTATAGAAAAATTATTGGTAGGGAGCGCTTCCTCTCCCAACCAAGTCATGGGTATGGGTATGGCTGCACTTCCTCTCGAATGGGATCCTATGCGGAGCAAATCCGAATATAATCGGGCTCCAATACGAATACCGGACACACGGTGAGAAACTAAAAAAATTATAACAAGGAGAAGAGATAGAGAAGCTAACCAAGAATGGGTAATGGAGATGATGATGATTCTTTAAGAAGATCAGGGAGCTTCTTTGAATCCTCTGCCATGATTCTGATAAAAAAACTACCTGGGTTGTCTTGTATTTTAAGAGCAAAGAATTAGTATTGATCTTGTCCCAGGTCTTTGATATCTTGGTTTTATCAATTCTATTTCTTGGTTACAATAATGGGGACTAAATAATAATATCCATATATTGCCGGCCAACAAATTGGACCTACTTCTACTGTTCAAGGTACAACTTATCTTGCAAATTGTACCTACTTCTAATATTCAAGGTACAACTGATCTTGCAAAATGTACCTACTAACCAAGCCGACCCCTGCTCTTTATGCTTTTTCTTTTTTAATTCTCTTGACTGTATTAAAATTTCTTAGACAAAGCTTGATTTGTAAGCAAAATGATGAGGGTAAAATTGTCATCTTATTTTATATTTTCAATAAAATAATATTCTTAGAGCAAAGCTCTAGTTTGGATGATATCATACACAATGCTTCATTTTCGAAAAATTCTTCGACATATTCATAGGATCATAGCCCCAAATTGGTATAAAATTCTATTCTTTCCGTCCCAAAAAGATGATATTTTTCGTATTCTCAACTTTGAGCAAACACACAAACTACCCATCTCAGTTTTGTTACAAAGCAAAAGAAATAAAAAAAAAAAAAAAAAACAGTCTAGTGCACTAAACTCTCGCTATAGGCGGAGTCCGAAAAAGGGTCGGACCACAAGAGTTTATTGTACGCAATCTTATCCCGCATTTTTGCAAGAGGGTGTTTCCACGGTTCGAACCCATTAACTCCTGGTTACATGGCAACAACTTTACCAATTACAGTTACAGTTACGTGAAGGCTCCCCTTCCAAAGCAAAAGAAATACAACAAAAAACAAAAGTTACCAAATTGCTACTTCTCTATTACCATATTGAGTAGCACAAGCTCTAAACATGCCAGTAGTATTAAACAGTGTGACAACTTCCCCTGCAGCAGACACAGCAATCAAACCAGTAGTACCATCTGGTGTAGATTCTTTTATAACATAATCTGTTGCCTCCTTCAATGTTAGCCCTTTGTATTCCATTAGAGCAGCAATATCTCTTGCTACAGTTGCGCGGATAATAGCTTCGCCTTTGCCTGTACAAGACACTGCACATAGTTTATTTGCATATGTTCCTGCACCAACAATGGGAGTATCTCCAATTCTACCAACCATCTTGTTTATTTACTAATCCTCCAGTCGAAGTCGCTGCTGCTAAATTTCCATTATTGTCAACAACTACACATCCAACTGTTCCTATCTGGCTATCCCCGTTTGGAACTGGAGTTACATCAACTACTGGCGTAGGTTGTGTATAATCTACCTGTAAAATTTATAAGCATACATATGTTAATCATCACATCCTGAGGCTGCTAATTACTCGTACACAAAGTGATTAACGTCAAAACATGGAGAGAAAAAGGAAGAATTGTTAGAGGCAAAGCGAGAAGTAATTTTGAGTGATCGCGTGACACCATCAAATATTTAAAGGCAAGAAGAGGAGGAACAAGTACACATGAACATTGTGGTGTTAGCATGTTAGCAAGAAATGAATTACTACTTCGACTTGAGTATCATCTTTACCATGATATGATGCATTAAACAATCTGAATATAGAACAACAACAACAACAACAACAACAACAATCCCAGTCAGTTCCCACAAGTGGACCTCGGAGGGTCGTGTGTACGCAAACCTTACCCCTACCTGAAGAGGACAGAGAGGCTGTTTCCGACCCTAGGCTAAAGAAAAGATAAAAAGAAGCAGTGACAATAAATAGTATCAATAAAAAGTTATTAAGAAAACTGAAGCGAAAAAGAGCAACCAATCAGTAGGTGGTAAACAAGTATGCTACATTGCAAAGATGAAAGCAGGAGTAAACAAGCACAAATATGCTACATTGCAGCAACGAGGATAAAATGACTGAGCTGGGACAAAAGTACCTGAACTCTGTTAGCTGCTTTTGCTTGTTTTAGTCTCTCCATATTTGGCGGGGTGATAAACTGGTTTGAATCTACAGTTTCAACCCCCTAGATAACAAAATCACCACAATTAATCAAGTATACTTAACATGATACAATCAGGTGATCAAGTTATTAAGCCGATTGCTCCTGTCTCAAATCTTTTGGGATGTCCAAAGAAGAAAAATATTCAATGACAAGTTTTCAAGAACCTGCTCCCTAGCAAATGCTTCTGCTCCTTCAAATGCAAGGTATACATGTGGAGTTTTGTCCATGACTAGCCTAGCTAGAGATACAGCATTAACAACTGTAGAAAGACCAGAAACAGCTCCACACTTCTTTGTACTTCCATCCATGATGCAAGCTTCCATTTCTACCGTGCCATTGCTGGTTAAAACCGAACCTCTACCAGCATTGAAATGTGGATCATTTTCCAGTTCACGCACCTGTTTGATTCAAGTTCAATTCTCTTTTATCTCTGTTGTTTACCAAGAGTATACAAAAACATGAAGTTTCCGAGGGCCTCAGATCGAGTTCCAAAATTACAAGTTTTTGAAGAGTTTAACTTTTATATACTGCTATAAAAGAATTTTTACATCTAACCATAGAGTAACTACCCATAAATACACTCGTGCAACAATTACGATGACGACTTGATGTGGATCCAGGATTTTATGGTTCCGGACTATAATCATTTTTACTTACTGGTTCTGGATAGAAAATTTATACATAATATATGAATTTTCTTAACACAAATACAGAATCTGACCAAAGCTATTGAGTTCTGCGGACTTCTGAGGGCATGTATCTTTGTAGCCGTCTATATCAAATTTAACTAAAGAATACATTCATTCATTCAACAAGCCTTCTTAGCTCAGTGGTAGAGCGCGTGGCTTTTAACCACGTGGTCGTGGGTTCGATCCCCACAGACGGCGAAGTTTTTTACCAATCAAAGTAAAAAACATTCTGAAAATGAGTGCCAGGGTAGAACAACACCCAAGGAGGAAATCTAGCGCCATCTTTCGTTAAGCCTTTTGAAAGTTCAAACAAAATCAAATACTAGAAATTGTTTCGAAACGATTTCCTTTTAAAACCAAATTAAAGGGCACCCAAAAGTTTACCCTTCACTCATTTCGTACAGATCTATTATGTCAGCTGTCACTACGGTACATATATACAACTACACAATAAGAACACAAACAAAGTAGATCACACGCTACAAAGAATAAGATAATAAACAGATGCATGATATACATACCATAAGTTCAACAACATCCAAAGGTGATTTGTGAGAATTGAGAGCATCAATGCCGATCTGTAAACAACGGTGGAGGCAGGCTTCTCTGGGTTGAAGGAGTTCCGGTGGAAGATCACGGGGAATGTCACCAGCACCACCGTGCAATGCAATAGCCCAACCCATACTCACCGGCCAGCCACCACCAATAATAAAGCACGTCAAAGCAACTAACAAAAGAGAACATTATTAAGACATGGTTTTAGCTCAATAATATATACAGATGACTAGTTGACTACCCATGGTTTTAGAACGGCCACGAGTCCTTTCGAAATTTACATAATTGTCTTTACTTTAAAAGGTAAGGTTCTTTCTCAAAATAATACTTATTTCTAGTGTAATATACAGTTGTATGCTTTCTTTTCTCTACTTCTTTTCCCAGAAGCGGATTGCATACTATATACTCTACTTCTTTTCCCACAAGCGGATAACATACTATATTACACCTGAATTAAATTCTCATTTTTAATATTAAACTAATGAATTCTCCCCATATATATCTTCTAATACTTTCGGTAATATTCAACTTTCAAAGTTATAGCGAGATCAACATGTAAAATAGAAAAATGTTTTAACACACTCCCTGTGTACTAATTTATGTCTCATACTTTCTTTTTTAATCTGTCTAAGAAAGAATGTCATACTTCCTCATTTAAAAATAATTTAACTTTAACAATCATACTTTACCCTTAATAAAATAATTTACAGCTATACAAATATTTATAACTTATTTTAGACCAAAAATTTCAAAAAAATTTATTTCTTTATTAAACTTCATGCCAAGTCAAATACAACCACAATAGAACGGAGGGAGAATAAGAAATACTAGAAAATGTTTCAATACAAAAAATTTCGCACAAAAATGACTTAGTCTCAAATAAATTGGGTCGTCTACCTGAATCCTCACTATCATGTTTCTTCAATTAAAATTAGTTAGGGTTCAGTTTAAATGCATTCTTACTAAATATTAATGAAAATTTCAATCATTAGCTAAATAACCATACTTTAATAAAACAGGTCATATTGGGAAGAAGGGAAGCAGTTAGTGGCGAAGCCACATGGTCACAAGGATGGTCAGTTGACCACCCTTCGTCGAAAAATTGCACTGTATTTATAGATAAAATATTATATTTTAAAGGTATATAACATATATTGAACACTCTTTGTCGGGATTTTTTTTTCCACTTCTTTTAAATTTGAATACCCTTGAGAAAATTCCTAGTTTCGCCACCGGAAGCAGCCGTAGTAAGAACTAAAATAATCTATAAGAGGAAATTAAAAAATCCCGAGAAGCCCTAATTGGAATTAATGGGCATCTTAGACGTATATCGTATAACAAATTTTGCGCTCTCTAATGTTGTATGATTCCTTCCATTTTAGTTTAATTGGGCTAAGCTAATCTTAATAATCTACGATTTTTTTTTTCATCTTAGCGTGTAATCTTGATCACACTCAATTCTAGTCATAAAAAGAATAAGTGGCCGCTGCAAATATAATCCGGTCTAAGAGTCCGGAGTCGAATCCCACAGAGAATTAAGGTTTAGCTACAACTATCCTATCACTAAGAATACAAATTCGAACATTCCTAAGATATAAATATTCAGATTCTTGTGTCTAACTAATTAACTAATAAGTTAAAGTAGTAAATTAACAACTAAAGATACTAAGGTTTGGAGACAGGATTAACGAGATCTAGAGTTATGATTTTCCCAATTGTCAGTATCTTCCTGCTATGTCTCATAGAATATCGCATAAATATTCTCTACTGATCGTGAGCACTCGACTTATCATAATTCTCTCTCAAGAAACTACAATAATGTACTAGTTATATTCTCTCGAATTACGCTAGCTCACACTCTTTTACCGCTCA